ATTTCTGGGGGATCGACGATTAATTGTGTCTGTGTGTTTCTTTTCCTCCTGATATGTGCACGGAAAGAACGGGTACAATGCCCAACAGCGGATCCCGTTCATTTCGGACAGGACCCGCTGTCCACGCCGCCGCGGCCTGTGCCCACTCGAGACAGAAGGCCGCCTGCCCAGTAGCGGCCGCTGCTGGTTTGGGACAGCATGTGTTGTTGGGCATTGTACCAAATTGTTCCGTACAGAGCAGCTTTTAATATATGGGAAGAGCATGGGATTTTAATGCATGGTTGATCTATGAATACATTTACGCATGGACTCATCGTTGTTTTCAATCCAAAATCCCTGCATGTTTAATACATGATCCGCACGCGGAGCATGCATTAAAAACGGCACTGTACCCATTTCGGGCGTCACGCGCGCCCGTCCCGAGGTCTCGCTGCACCGCCTCTGCTTCTCGGGCCCGTGTGGGGGGGGAGAGAGGGCGGGCGGGGCCCGCGGAGCCGCTCGGCCCCGCGGACTGGAGCCCCGTATATACCCTCTCGCAATTCCCGAGCGCCACGGGAGGGGAGGGGCGGGAGGCGGGAGGCGGGAGGAGTGCGGGGCGAGCAGCAGGAGCAAGGGCAGGAGGCAGAAGGGCCGCAGGAAGGGGGGGGGGCAGGAGAGGAAGGACGAGGGCGGGAGGGGGGGTGCAGGGCGTCGACGGCCCTCTACGCCTCGCCGCGCAGCCCGGAAAGCCAAAAGGGCCTGGCCGCTGCCGTGCGTGCGCGTGCCGCACGCGCTGCCAAGGGGAAAGACGAAGGCAACCCTCCGAGGTGGGCAGCTCGTTTGGTCTACGTAGCCCATTCGGTTCAAGCACGTCTCCGCCCAGAAGCTGAGCGCCGCACCAATGACCACGAAGTTCGGATTGCCTCGGGAGGATCCTACCCTTCTCCGGCTCCTCCCCCGCACTGTCCACGGTCCCATCCTCCTGCTCCTCCTGCTCGTGTTCCTCATCCTCTGCTCCTGTTCCTCGTCCTCTCCTTCCCCTTCTCCTGATCCTGCTCCTCCTCCTCCTCCTCCTCCTCCTCCTCCTCCTCCTCCTCCTCCTCCTCTGTTGCCTCCTGCTCCCTCCTCGTCCGCCTCGATCTCCCCAGGCGGGTGGAGGAGGAGGCCCCTTGCGGGGCGGCTTCCCCCGAGACCTGTCGTGTTGACGTCCAGCCCCAGTGCGGCACCGGGCAGGATTGCCGTCACGCCACGCAGGTTGGACTTGTACCACTCCTCCTCTGGCGACGGGGAAGCACTCGCTCTGCCCACCCCTCGCCCTCGCGTTCCTCCTCGGCATCCTCCCCGTGCTCCCTCTCCTTCAACTTCTCTCCCTCCTGGTCCCCCTCGTCCTCCTGAACATTATCATCCTCATCATCCTTCCCCCCTTCGGCCTGCCTCCCATCCCCTTCCCCACCCCATCCGTCCACATCAAATTTCTCCTCCTTCTCCTTCTCATCCTCCTGCTTCGCCCACCATCGAAACTAGACCGCCTGATCTCTCCTGGGATGCAGTCTGGCCCAGAGACGTGGTGGCAAGAACTCCCAAGAAACGCGCGCGCGCAGGCACACACACACACACACACACACACACACACACACACACACACACACACGTTTTGGCGTGTCGCGGCCCCGCGCGTGGCGACGGGACGCAGAAAGTCGGGTGCAGGGAGTGAAGCGCGCGTGTCTACGCGCGCACAAAACACATGCACACATTCACGCAGACACACCCGCGCGTACACATCTGTACCGAAATAAGTGAAACATACGTATAATACCAGATCAATGCATAGAGAACGCGTTTCTGGCCATGCAGCTTGTTCCGTCAGGTTACGCACGCAGGCTGTATGCGCGAGAGAGAGGGAGAGTAGGTTTAGAGAGAGGGGGGGAAGAGTTCGCCAGCGTGCCTGCACGATGTGAGCGCGTTAGAATGCTCTTCTGTTGCCTGGCAAGGGCTTGTTAGTGCTTTCTAGCCCCCCCCCGATCCCCGCGGCGTGCGCGTCCCTCGAAAATCGTCCCCTCTGAATTTGCTATTCGGCGCCATTTCGGCTGCTAGACGGTTCCAGGACAACGAAAAGCAGTCCACAACGGCTGCAAGACGCCCCACGACCATCCCAAGACTGCCCAAAGATTCAGCAAAGGCGCCAAGACGCCCCCAAGATGCATGAAACGAGCCTAAGAAGCCCCCAACAACCAACAAAGGAGGCCTCCAGCGAGGCCCTAAAATATGACAACCGTAAGAATGGGAGAACACTGTGTTTGCTCACGAGGACGTTTGGCTTCAGTTTGCCCCAAAACGCTGGCCAGACATACTCACCATCTGGTCCCAAACTGCCAGCCAGATATCCGAGCCCCCTGGCCCAAAACTGCAAGCCAGGTATCTTCACACACTGACCGAAGATTGCCAGCCAAATATCCCCAACCCAGGGCGCAACACTTCCGCGGGTAAATCTCACAGCCAACGGTCGGTCCAGTCAGTCAGCTGCTAGTTGCCCCTCCCCACCCTGCCTGGCCTCGCCTTGCCAACCCTAGTTCCTCCTTCCTCCCTCCTCTCTCCTCCTCCCCCTCCTCCGCCTCCTCCGCCTCCACCTCCGCCTCCTCCGCCTCCTCCTCCTCCTCCTCCTCCTCCTCCTCCTCCTCCTCCTCCTCCTCCTCCTCCTCCCCCTCACCTACCCCCTACGCTGGAATACTCCGAAGAACACCCAAAGACGTGTGATGCATTCGAGAACATGGCTCGCCCGCTACCTCGCTCCTACCACCCTCCCCGATCCCCTTCCTCCTCCTCCTCCTCCTCCTCCTCCTCCTCCTCTTCCTCCTCCTCCTCCTCATCCCCATCCCCCTCCTCCTCCTCTTCCTCCTTATCATTAGTAATATGCTTATTCGCATTAGCATAATAATAATAATAATAAGAAGAAGAAGAAGAAGAAGAAGAACAGGTATTCGTGATGAATTGCTTAATTAATCATAGTATGCAGATTAGTAGTGTTCGTGTGGGCCTTAGTATTATCATAACTATTATTAGTACCGGTCGTGTTTCGTATTCGGATGATTCGCATTCTTATTATGTTCCGTATCATAATTATTAGTAGTAGTAGTAGTAGTAGTAGTAATAATATTATTCCTCCTCCTCCGCCTCCTCCCCCTCCTCCTCCTCCTTCTCCTCCTTCTCCCCCTCCTCTTCCTCCTCCCTCTCCTCCTCTTCCCCCTTCTCCTCCTCCACCGCCTCCTCCTCCTCCACCTCCTCCTTCTCCGCCTCCTCCTCCTCCTCCTCCTCCACCCCTCCTCCTCGTTCTCCTCCTCCTCCTCTTCCTCCTTCTCTCCTCCCTCCTCTCCTCCCTCCTCCTCCTCTCCTCCTCCTCCTCCTCCTCCTCCTCCTCCTCCTCCCCCTCCTCAAGTCTGAAGACTGAACAACTGCACAAGCATACGTGTTCGAAGATCTGTGCGGATCTCCTCGATCGGCGCTGACCGCCTGACTGGCGCACGGAAGACGCCAAGGGCGGCGCTGGAAGCACCCCTGGGTGGGTCCCAGCACAAATCAAACAAATCCGCACGAATCGTCGGTAATTCCTGTTGATACCGTGGTTTGCCAGCCTCGATCCTCGGATGACGAGGATTGTGGTGAAGATGACGGTTATAGTAATACTGAAAATGATACTACTACCAAGAGCAATAACAATGATAATGATAATGATACTGAAAGGGATGGTGATGATTATGATGATGGTGATGATGGTGAGCATGGTGAGGATGGTGATGGTGCGCATGCTGGTGATGGTATGGATGATGATGGTCATGGTGATGGTAATGGTGATGGTGATGGTGATGGTAATGGTATGGGTGATCGTGATGATGATGCTGATGCTGATGTTGATGATGATGCTGATGTTGATGCTGATGCTGATGTTGATGCCGATGATGAGCTGATGATGATGCTGATGCTGATGGTGATGCTGATGTTGATGTTGTTGATGATGGTGATGATGATGGTGATGGTGGTGATGATGGTGATGATGCGCATGCTGGTGATGGTATGGATGACTATTGTCATGGTCATGGCCATGGTAATCGTGTGGTAATGGCAATGGTAAAGGGTAACCGTGGTGATAAAGATGATGATGCTGATGACGATGATGCTGATGGTGCTGATGCTGATGTTGATGCTGATGCTGGTGTTGATGCCGATGCTGATGTAGATGCTGATGCTGATGCGGATGATGATGCTGATGATGATGATGATGATGACGATGATGATGATTATAGGATGGTGATGGCGATGGTGATGGTGATGGTGATGATAGTGATAGTAATGGTGTAAATGGTGGTGAGTATGATTGGTCATACTACGAATAATACTAATACATCTTAGTTTTAGTGGTAGTATAATGGTGATTCGTATTGCTGCTAATAGTTTATCCACGTAAGTAGTATTAGTACTGTTGCCATCGTAATTAATCAAACGATGACAGTACTGATAAGGATGTTGAGGACGAGGAGAAGAGAAGGAGACAAGAAGCAGAGAAGGGACAAACAAAAAGAGAAGGATGACGATGGGGAAAAGGCGCCGAAGAAGGAGAAGGTGGACAAGACAACGAATCGGCAGAACACCGTCGTGGGGCTCCCTGTGCTCGAGGTCCGCCCTGAAGTCCACCGCCTCTGGGGGCCCCACCACGTCCACGGCCACCGGCACCTCTTCCCATGGAGGGCTGGGCGCGAAGGAAGGGGGGGGGGCGACCAAGGGGGAGGGGAAGAGAGGTGCACTTCTTGGGCCCTGGATGCCCCCTCTGGGGCCCGAAAGGGCCCCTTCAGGGGCCCTGCGGGGACCCTCTCCTGCAGCCCCTCGCTGCCCCCTCCCATGTTCATCGCCCCCCCATGAAAATTCGAGCGCTTCCCGAGGGAGGCAGGCGGCGCGGGGGCCGCGCCGGGAGGAGCAGGAGGTGCGGAGGGGGAGCACGGAGGAGAGGAGAGGGGGCCCAGATCCCAGAGGTCCGACGCTTCAAACAAGAATCGGAGCGGGCGGTGTGGGGCAGTCTTCGGCCTCAGAGGGGCCCTCGCCGGGCCTGGGGACCGTCAAAGCACGACTCGGGGCGAAGATCTGGCCCCAGGGATGGTCCGATGTCTGTGATGGTCACACGCCTGGGATGGTGGCAGGGAGGGGAGGGGCAGAGGGCGTCCGGAGGGGAGGAGAGGGAGGGGGGCTTGGGGCACACGCGAGGGCCGAATGGGACGAGCAGGGATCAGGCAGGCACGGAGGGAGGAAGTAGAGAGCAGGAAGAGGAGGGGAGGGAGCATCAGGAGCAGAGGGGAAGAGTCGGAGCAGCAGCAGGTGGGGCAGAATGGGCAGCAGGAGGAGAAGGAGAAAGAGAAGGAGAAGGAGGAGGAGGAGGAGGAGCAGAGGGTGGAGAAGAAGGAAGAGGAGAGTGGATGGGGAGCACCAGTGCCAGCTCATAAGACAAGCAGACAAGTAGGTAGATGAGGAAGATGAGAGGAGCAGCCACTGGCCAAGGCACTAGCCACCCGCCGCTGCGCCAGCGGAAACGAGCCTTCTCGCCGAGGGCAGCCCCGAGGTGGCTGCGCTGCAGACGGCTCGCGGGAGGCTCTACCAGAGGCTGCGAAGCCTCTGCGCGGCGGGCCTGGACAAGCACGTGGCCCGGACCTTCCTGCGCACGAGAACGGCCTCCGACCACACGTGCCTGGCGCGCGCCTGCGGCATCCCGAGCGCGGAGGCGCGGGCGCTGGACGAGGCGCTGGCCGACTCGCCCTGGGCAGCCCGCTGGGCGACGCCAATCGCAAGAAACTCTCAAGACCTCGCAAGCGCCGCCGGAGGCCACGGACTGCAGAGCGTGGAGCTCACGGCCCCCGCGGCGAACGCGGCCTCCTGGCCCCGTTGCTTGCCGCACTGCCTGCGGCGACTCGGCCTGGACAGCACCGCCGCCCTGGCAGCGCTGAGCCCCTGGGCGCGCCGCGCCCTGCCTGCGGCCACAGCGACGCTCCGGGCTGCGCTGGGAGACGACACCGCCCACGCGGGCGACGAGGCACTGGCACCTACGCAGCACACCCTGGCTATACGGCCTCCCTCGCTGCGGCGGCCCGCCTCGCCGCCGACGAGGTGGCTGCGGACCCCCCTGGCGGCGGCCTCCCCGCGCTCTGCAGGCGCCCCCGGCGCGAGCGCCCTCCTGCAGGTGCCGACGCTGCCCTGCCACCGGCTCACCACTGCGCAGCGAGGCACCGCGCTGCGCTCCCGGCTTAACCTCGCCTTGCCGGGATGCGCGGGCCCCCCGCGCGCGGCGGGCGCAGCCTGGACTGGGCCTCCAAGGCTCTGCCAGCACCGGCACCCTCACGGCGGGATCTGCGGCGCCCCGCTTGACCCGAAGGGGCGGCACGCGCGCAGCTGCCCCGTGGGGGGGTGGCTTGTGCGCCGCCACGACGCGGGCTGCGCGGCGGCTGCTAGAGCGGTGCGAGGAGCAGGGATGCACAGTCCTGCTCCCCCACGCAGCGCGGGGGGGAGCCCGGAGGCGCGCATGGACTCGGTCCTCCACGCCCCGCGCCTCGCTGGGCCGCCCCGTCGACTTGACCGTGGTGGGCGCGCTCACGCAGGACGCCCTCGCGCTCGGCTCCGCGCGGCGGGACGGCGCGGCAGCAGCAGCCGCGGCGCGGCGCAAGCGGGCCCGCTACCCCGGGGTGGCGCTGGTCCCGTTCGCGGTGGAGGACCACGGCCGCCTGGGCGAGGAAGCGCTAGCGCAGACGCGGCTGCTCGCGCCTGCCCAGGCCACCGAGCGCTCTGCGGCCATCCGGCGACTGCACCAGTCGCTCGGGTGCGTCTCGCAGCGCCACGCCGCCGACGCGGTGCTGGCGGCGGCGCAGGCGCAGGGCTGGGCAGCCGGCGCCAGGCGGGGCCACCCCAGCGGGGACCTCGTTGAGAATTCGTCCTGCGATTGGGGGAGCCCGCCCACAGCAACAACCCAGAAAGAAACTGGGCTCTCAGCACGAACGAATGGCTGTTTGGGTGGCGCACGCGGCAGCCGAGCCCCTTTGGGCGGCGGGCTGCGGCCAAGGGCCTCCATGAAGTGGACTGTCTGGTGAAGCCCGCCCACTCCAACCGGCACTGGCACGTGCCAGGAGACGGGACAACGCGAGCAGGGGCCACGATGACGCAGTGGGGCCGACTCAGTACCGCCTAGATCGTACCCTGCAGGAGCGGAAGACTGGGAGCCAGAAAGACATGTTTTTTTGGGTGCAGGAGCGGAGGACGGGGAGCCAGAAAGGCATGGTTTTTGTGTGTGGGGGGGGGACCGTTGCCCGACCAGTTCGACAGTTCGACAGGTCACCGCGACCTGCTCGCAGCCTCCCGCGCCGCAGTGCGGGCACGGATGGCCTCCGAACATGGCAGCGGTGCGGCAGAGGCCCTCGGGGCACTCCGCCGAGCAACCTCAAGAACAAGAGTGGCCTCCTTGCGCTCAGCCTGTCCTTCAGGTTCCGCGCGCGACACAGAGACATTGCGCAGCGGATGCAGGCCACGGCGCAAACAAGACAGCACCTGCAAACCACTCCCCACACTGCCTGGCTTGCAAAGTGCAGCCGGCTGACGAATCTCGTGCTGCGAGTAGGCTCCACACGCTAGACAGAAGAACAAAGGGGCCTGCTCATCGCCGACTTGCGTGCAAGCTAGCTTTCCCAAATCGTACCCTGCAGGAGCTGGGCTCCTGAAATCATCGGGAGCGACTCGCGGTCAGACCTGCGACTGCCTCCCTCGATCCCCCATCCCCAATCTCACCCCCCCCAACCTCATGCGATCGGACCTAAGACTGAAGAACATTCTGCAAGAACATGAGACCCTCCGCCGGCCAGAACACCCCAAGCCATAAGACCACTCGAGGGGCGCCCCCCAGGAAACACAATAACATCCAACAACAAGCACGAAGAACATTACAGCCAACCCGTATAGCGAGGATGCGCGATAAGGATCCAAGAGCCTTGGACGCCCATTTCGAAGCTATTCGAGCGGGGCGCGGCCAACGAAAGTGGCCAAGGATGGACCGAGGAGGCAAGGATGCAGGGGTACTCTTTTAAAGGTTGCCCATCCTTCCTATTCGGGTTGACTGTAGGGCACCCCCCCGAACCGACTTCGATCATATATCTTCCGACCTCCTCCCCCTCCCCTCCTCCTCCTCCTCCTCCTTCCCCCCCTCCTCCTCCTCCTCCTCCTCCTCCTCCTCCTCCTCCTCCTCCTCTCCTCCTCCTCCTCTCCTCTTCCTCCTCCTCCTCCTCCTCCTCCCCCTCCCCCTCCCCCTCCTCCTCCTCCTCCTCCTCCTCCTCCTCCTCCTCCTCCTCCTCCTCCTCCTCCTCCTCCTCCTCCTCCTCCTCCTCCTCCTCCTCCTCCTCCTCCTCCTCCTCCTCCTCCTCCTCCTCCTCCTCTGGGGTGTCGTCAGACGAGGCCAGGACGAGGACCACATCGGGTGAGGATAAATCGAGGCTCTCTGAGATCCGGCGGCTCTGGAGGATGTCTCGGGCGCCGCGGCCTTCTCAGAACGTTCTGGAACGCTCTGGAATGGATTCATCCTCGTCCAAACCCCGTCCGATGTCGGCCACGTGGCTCCCAAATCTGGATCAGCCCGAGAAAATCGCAGGGAATTGGCTGACATCCGCGTTTGTCACACTAGGACAAGGTACCGATATCGCTACCCTTGCCTCGTTTTCCCCTTGTTGGGCCTCCTGGGAGGCCCTCGTCGCCACCGCTGGATTCGCCTCAAAATTCTGGTCAGAACGCGACCCAGGAGAGGTCCAGGGAGTAGCAGTATCGGTACGTTTGGGGTTCCCCAATTTGGACGCCCGAAATGGGTACGGGGAAAAATGGGCACGTCACCCAACAGCAGCTGCTGCCCAAAACCAAGAGCGGCCGCTGTTGGGCAGGCGGCCTCCTGTCTCACACGGCGAGTCCTGCTCAAAATCAGGAAGTGCTGTCGGTCTCTGTACCCGTATGTGACTTTTCCCACCTCCTGCACACCAGCATTCTTCCAACGCCATGAGTTCTGTGAGGTGCCATGCCGAGGCACCACCGCGGGCAGCGCCACGCCAAGAGAGGGACCGCTGAGGCCCTCGAAGCCAGCGCCCTGGGGGCGCCGCCGCACAGAGGCCGCCGTCAAAAGTGGCCACGAAGGGCCACGTCACACCTCCGCATACCCGTTTCGATCGTACCGACCGTCGGCGCTGACCCCCGTGCCGCGGGCGCCGAAAATCGGAACCTCCGACGCGACGGGCTCCATCATGGGCATCCGGCTGACTGCACAGACGGGCTCCGCGTACGGCATGAAGGGCTCCGCGTACGGCATGGCCACGTCGGACGGCGCCACGGTCCTCGGGACAGAGGAGTGGCAGCGGCGGCTGCGGGCAGTTCCAGCGACAGCGACAGCAACAGTAAGAGAAGGAGGAGGAGGAGGAGGAGGAGGAGGAGGAGGAGGAGTGCGAGTAGCTTGAGGCGAACTCGTCCGTCCTACCTCGGCAACGCATCGACGCTACTGGTCGCAGCGTGGCTGCCGCGCTGGCAGACCTGCGGTGCACCGCCACAGTAGGGCACAGGCCGCACTGAGCGCGGATGCGATCGCATCTGGCATCGGTGCGGCAGACTGCTCCTTTTGTTGCAAGTGTGAAAAGCGAGCGCCACTCGTCGGACCGCCCGCCGCAGCGACAAGTCGCCGGCAGGGCCAGACGGGTAGAGGCAGCTGCAAGGCCCGAGGCCCACGCGGTAGGCGTGCCAAGGAGCGGGGGCGAGCCCGGGGGACAGAGGAGACGCAAGAGGACGGGGCAGGAGGGGTACAGTGCGGGCGCGGCCGCGAGAAACCCTCGCAAGAAACCCATCCCTGAAACCCGCAGGCGCGAGATGCAAGTGGGGGGAGCCCAGAGCACCCCGAACGCAGCAGCTCCTTCCACGGCCACGGGAAGCCACCGCGCAGCGCGCGGAGCGAAGAAACCCAGGGCACCCTGACGAACATCTGTATCTTTTTGATGCGCGCCTCCTCTGTGCTGGGGAAATGACTCTGGCGCGCCAAAGCACCCGAAAACCAAAAAGCTTCTGCGTGAGCGCGTGCATCCGCTGGGGCGTTGTTCACCCGCTCGTGGATGTTTTGGAAGCTGCCCAGCGCAAGCTGGGACGGGCTTCTCCAAGCGCTGAACTGAATGCAGACCAGCGGCTGGAAAGCTCTTGGGGAGAAGGCGGCTGACGAATGCCCGATGCGTCGATGCACTTGCGGATTGTGAGGGTGGAAGGTGATGAGAAAGCGGCGTTCCAAAGAGAGATTCGGCGACGACTCGCCGCACCTCGGGGCGGCGCGGCGGGTCGGCTGAAAGAGCATCTCCAATTTCACAGACAGCAGCGCGGGTTGCCGCGGCCACGGCTGCAGCGGAAAAGGGTGATAATCTCTGGCATCGCGACAGGGCATGGTAGAACTGCACGATGGCCCTGGTCTCTTCACAGAGGGGAGGAGACCGGTGCCCAACTTCCCGCCGAGGAAAGAAAGCACCGTGATCTGCTCTCACGCGGCGTCGCGATGACTGGCGCGAAAAGACCCCCCGTCGCCACGGAGCGTGACCAAAGCAGAGCGAATGGCAGCAGCTGCGATAGTGACTTGAGTGGAGCGAATGACAGGCGGCGGACTCCAATCCGCCATCGCGAGCAGATCTTCTCTGTGAAATGTGTTCGGCGACGCGCTGAGCATTCCGTGGAAGATAAAAAGTTCACGACGGACGCTTCTGACTTCGAGCGGAAACGACTGAGCGACATGGCTGAGCGCAGAAAGTGTCGAGGTACTGCAAGGTCTGACAGTGGCGTCGCTGCCGCCCTTCACAAGCTGCAAACGATTCCCCCGCTGCCACCATCTTTGCCCCAGGTCGAGCCATTTACGAGCGAGGGAGGCCGAAGGCCCAGGGAAGGCCCCGAGGTACTCGGCTCGCCCCGCGACCGCAAGACCGCCTAGGAAGAGTGGGGCTCAGCCAGGAGGAATCTCGCTTGGGCAGTGACAGCTGGGGCCGCGGCGGCCCAGAGCGGCGCTATTCCGCGCCTGCGAAGCTTGAGAGAGAAGGGCGCGAACTCCTCGGCAGCAGAAAACGGCTCAGGCGCATCGCGCAGGGCGTTAAACTCGTGCGCGGGCAGGCCGAGGTCGCCCGCACAGCCGCCGACGTAGCCTTTGTCGTAGCTCGGAGTGCCGTCTGCGTTCTCGACGAGGGACGCGGGGTGGCGGATGATTGGGTCCATCGCGATTGCCCGTGCCGATCCGCTGGCAGGGCAGCCCCGGGCTACGCCTGCCTCGATCGCGGACGTGAAGTGGCGCGCGCCGTCCACCTGGACGTAGCTGCGCGGCGCGCAGCACGTCTGCTGGAAGAGGTTCATGAGGCCGATGGGCAAGCCGCAGCGCTCGAAGGATGCGAAAAGCCAGGCCCGCCCTGACGACGGGACCGCCGCCGCGAAATCGAAGCCTGCGATGACGGGGCAGCGGCGCTCCGCGTCTGGCATGACCCCCGCCCGACGCACCTCGGCATCGAGGCGCACGATGCGCGTGGTGAAGTTGCGGCCGACTACGAAACCCTGCTGCGCAATGTGTGCGCGGACAGACACAGCGTTCTTGATGAGGGAGTTGGCAGCTCCTGCGATAGCTTTGATGTCAGCACTCTTGAGCGAGAGTGGCCTGGTGTCCTCGGGCGCGCGATCTGCCGCGAGCTCCCCCACTAGGCTGTCGCCCCTGGGCAAGAAGGCGAGGTCGAAATCATTGAGGTCGCTGATGAAGAGCCTGTTGGCACAGAGGCAGAAAAAGAGAGGTCCCTAAAATATCGAGCGAGTCGCCGCGCGCCCGCCAGGCCGAGCACGGAAGCCGATCTGGGCCCGGAGCCGAGGGCGAAGTGCGGCGAAGAACTGCACGAACGTGGCACATTGCTCCGCGCGCCGACGCCCACGGGTGGCCCCCTGCGGCACGCCGGCCTCGAGGCAGCGCTTCCCGACGAGGCCCACGGGGCCGGCCCGACGCTGTGAGGCCCGGAGGCTTCGGCGGAGCTCTGCTGGGCCGGGGGGGGCGTCGGGCCGCCCGTGAGGGCGCCGGGCCGCTCGCTGAGCCAGAGGGCGCTGCCTCGCCCCGAAGTCGGCGGCGCAGCGACGCGGGCAGGCTGGCGAGCGCGGAGCTGTGGTCGAGGGCGACGGTGCGCTCGGAGGTGGCGAGGCACTCGGCGCCGATCTCGGCGGTGAAATGCAGCTCTCGCGCCGGCGCAAAGTCGTGCCGCCCAACCCGCGCCGGCGCGGCGGGGCGGCCGTGAGGGGGAGAAGCGGGTCACCCCGCGAAGGGGCCCCTAACAGAATTAGCTACAGGTTGCGCCGTACAGCGCGGCAGGGTGATGGGCATGTGTGGCAAGAGCGCAGTGGACTTGGCCGTGCAAGATGCACCATTTCGACGACGGGCCCAAAAACTCAAGGATGCAAGGGTGCGCTGAACAAAAATACCCATCGGTATGATCCTGCTTGAGTGTGGGACTGGATGAATCTGTAGGTGGCCCGCACCGAGTTCTGCAAGCACGCGGCACACCGTGGCATGCTCTACCGATTCCCCGTCCTCGAGGCCGCAGAGCAGGCATGAGATGCGCCCGCCAAAGCGCCTTTTAGTGCACCACCCCGACCAGAGAGTGCGCCAGAGTGTATAACAGAGGCGCAGTTGGCGAAGTAGGGGTACTACAAAAGGAAAGGAAAAACAACACTCACCGCCTGGGCAGTGAAAGGTTACAATCTCCAAAGTATGCAGTGCTTCCTCGACGTGTAGTCGGCGCCGTGGGTGAAGTTCATTGCTGCGTTTCATGTTTGAACCGATTTCCGTTGATGATGTGTTTGTCCGTCACGCCCTTGATCGCGTTACCTCTTTCTCCATCGGAATCGGCCCCCACGCTTGCAGCGGTAGGTGTGCAAGTGTGTGCGTATTGTGTGTTGAGTGTTGTGTGTTGTGTGTTGTGTGTTGTGTGTTGTGTGTTGTGTGTTGTGTTTGTTGTGTGTTGCGTGTGAATGTGTGTGTGAATGTGCGCGAATGTGTGCGAATGTGTGCGAATGTGTGTGAATGTGTGTGAATGTGTGTGAATGTGTGTGTGCGTGTGTGTGCATGTGTGCGTGTGTGTGCGTGTGTGTGTGCGTGTGTGTGCGTGTGCGTGTGCGTGTGCGTGTGCGTGTGCGTGTGTGCGTATGTGCGTGTGTGCGTGTGTGCGTGTGTGCGTGTGTGCGTGTGCGTGAGTGTGTGTGTGTGTGCGTGTGTGTGTGTGCGTGTGTGTGTGTGTGTCTGTGTCTGTGTCTGTGTCTGTGTCTGTGTCTGTGTCTGTGTACCTGGTCTCTGTGTCTGTGTCTGTGTTCTGTGCCTGTGTGTCAGGCCCCCTCGCTTCTTGCGAAGCAGCAGCCCAGGCCCCCCCGACGCACCGAGCCCACGATGCGCTCGCTGCTGTGACGACGTCGCTGCGCGTTTTGCCGTCCAGGCAGATTACTGCCCCCAAAACAAAAAACAAAAACTTGCGGAGAGGGGCTCCATGGCATGTGCATAGACAGATCAACAAGAAGGTTATAACTGCAACTGAAGATGAAATGTCTTCCAATTCTAAATCTAAATCAGCTAAACGCCCCCTCCCCCGATCCCCCCACCCCCCCGGCACCCGCCTCGCTACCCCCCCGCGCCCGCCCGAGCGCAGTGGCGGCATCGCGCGGCCACGCAACTGGACCATCGCCGACAGGGCCGTAGCAGTGAGAGGGCACCGCAGACATCAGGGGCAGGGCTGTGGCTGGGAGCACGGCTCGACCTAAACGGCGTTTCTCCCTTTCGTTTTGTTTCCGTTGTCCATCGGCCTATCTTCGCTCCTCCTGTGCTGCAAGACGGAGTCAAAACGAAAATGGCCTGCGAAATCGCCAAAACACCGTTCAGGTCGAGACCTGGCTGGGAGACTGGAAGGTCTGAAGAAGCACTCGCGCTCCGGAGATGAAGCCGCCTGAGACCAAGTGGCACGGCAGGGTCTCTCTTGAACCTCAACAACACAAAACATGCGCAACCAACGAACCTGGAGAGGCGGCGGAAATAGAGCGCGGTTTGGAATCTACGCCCGGCGCGCGCTGGATGGGCTCCTGCCCGAGGTATCCTCACAGCCCGACTCCTCAGGTGAGCTCCCGCTCGAGACGCCTGCGCAGTCCCTCCAGACGTCCTCGCAATTCAACTCCTCCGATGGGCTCTGGCTCCAGACGCTCAGGCTTGAGTCGTGCTCACACTCTACATCTTACGTGCGTACGAGGAGCAGGAGGAAAAGGAAGATGATAATGGGGAGGTGGTCTTCATCATTTCGGCAGGTTCTCTGCAAAATACTCTATCTGCGCCCAGTTCATTCATCCCATTCCTCTCTACACCTTCTCTGGTGGCGGGCCGAGGAGGTAGGAATCGTTCGGCAGCCTCCATGGCAGCAACATCGACCACAGCACAAGAAGCTCCGGAAGTGTCCAGCCTGCTTTACTGCCAACGCATGGACCCAAACAGCAAGTTGGCAGTGCTGCCCTGAGTAATTCCCCAACGATGATAGAAGAACAACTGTCTTTCAAAGTGAGCACTAATGGGGCATGGTGAGATACGGGGGTGACTCTAAAAAGAGATACTCCTCCTCCACCTCCTCCTCCTCCTCCTCCCTCCTCTCGGGTTCATCTTTCGTATTCGTCATCCTTTTTCGCCATCCTCGTTTCAACGTCGTTGACCTCGGCCGACCCCCTCTGGCTACAGACACATTAAGAATGACTTTCGGCGAAGCGCACCGTTTCTTTAATATAAAAGGCAAACTGCAAGTGCATTACCACCGGGGGGATGACGAGGACGGGGGACGAGGATGAGAACGAGGAGGAGGACGACGGTGAGAAGGACCGGGACGAAGGCCAAAGCGAGGGCGAGGGAGAGCACGAAGCACGAGGCGGGTCGAGAACGAGGGTGATGATGAGGAGCAGGAGGGTGCATCGAGGCCACCTGGCCGCCGATCCCAAAGCCCCGAATCCAGACATGCCGACGCCCGGCTCTTACCTTAGAGGCCTCGGAGGATCGCGCCGCGTCGGCGATGGCGATGCATCGTCGACGTCGGCGATGCATCGGCGACGTCGACGTGAAGCTAATCAGGCCCCGCATCGAGCCGCATCGGCGATGTATCGGCGATGCGGCGCAATCCTCCGACCCCGTCTGCTCCGACCCCATCTAGCATTGGGTCGGGCATGTCCTCCTACAGGCGGACTGCTGACGAAAAGCGCACGAATAGTATAGCCCACAGAAAGCAGACATCGGGAGGGGGGGGGGGGGGGGGGCAAAAAACAAAAGAAAAAACAAAAAATCGTCCACGTACTGTTTTTTGTGTTTGAACTTTCCTCCTGCTGAGGGACAGGCTCGAGGAGGAGGAGGAGGAGGAGGAGAGGAGGAGGGAGAAGGGGAGGAGGAGGGGAGGAAGAGGAGGAGGAGGTGGAGGAGGAGGAGGAGGGCGGAGGAGAAGGAGGAGGAGGAGGAGGGCGGAGGAGAAGGAGGAGGAGGAGGAGGGGAGGAGGAGGAGGGGGAGGAGGAGGAGGGAGGGAGGAGGAGGAGGGAGGAGGAGGAAGAGGAGGAGGGAGGGGAGAGGGAGGAGGAGAGGAGGAGGAGGAAGGAGGAGGAGGAGGAGGAGGAGGAGGAGGAGGAGGAGGGAGGGGGAGGAGGGGAGGAGGAGGAGGGGAGGGAGGAGGAGGGAGGAGAGGAGGAGGAGTCTGGGAGGCCCTTGCGCGCCGCCCTCTCCCCCCCCCTGTGGGCGGCGCCGCCGCCGCTCTGCCTCCGCCGCCCCTCCGCCGCTGGCCTCCGCCGAGGGCGCGGCGCGCCGAGGGCGAGCGCCCGGCTGGAGCTCCCGGACCCCGCCATCGCTCGGACGTCTCTGTAAGAACGGTTTTTTGAAGGCAGATCTGCCTTCAAAAAACCGTTCTTACATGGAAGGCAGATCTGCCTTCAAAAAACCGTTCTCACAGAGTAGACCAGTCTTTCCTCCTTGCAGGTAGAGTGCGAATCCATGCCAGGTGGGTTTTGGCAAGCCTCCGTAGCAAAAAGTCCTCTGCGAAATGAAACATCGGTGGAGAGCAAGCCGCCACCGGCGGAGGACCGCCGCTCTGTGCAGGTCGTAGAACCACCGACTTACTTTCTGCACGAGCCGAGGGCTATTAACCCTCCTCCTCCTCCTCCTCCTCCTCCTCCTCCTCCTCCCTCCTCCCCCCTTCCTCCTCCTCCTCCTCCCCCCCCTCCTCCCCTCCTCCTCCTCCTCCTCCTCCTCCTCCTCCTCCTCCTCCTCCTCCTCCTCCTCCTCCTCCTCCTCCTATCGCTCGGACGTCCGTGGTGCGTTACCGCTCTCGACCGCTTTTAGCTGGCGACGCGCTTCGGCCTCCAGGTCCTCCTCTGGGCCACGAGGGCTCCTTTTTCGGTCTCGTGCGTGCGCTTCTGTCCTGGATCATGGAGGGGGGGCCCAGGGGCACACTCTTTCCGTCGGCGGCGAGGCGGCGAAATCCGCTCCGGCGAACAGCTAGTTAGGGGCACTGACTAGCGAATTGGCCGGCGTGCAGGGAGCGAGGGGGGAGGCCCAGAGGAAGGAGGGCCGCTCAGACGCCGAAGAAGTCGACGATGAGCAGCCAGCGGGCGGCAGCAACCAGGCGCGCAGGGCCAGAGCGCGGTGGGCGGCCGTGGCGAACCACGGTGGCAAAACCCAGGGACACACAAACAAGTGCACACAAGTCCCAGGACCCCCCATATGTTCCTATATTTCCCGGGTTTTTGTATTCCTCCCCGCTTGCCATCTTTCCCCATGTTTCCCTGGGGGTCGACGATTGCTTGTGTCTGTGTGCCTTTCCCCCTCCTAAAATTAAATGGTCCAGGATGCTCCTCGCCGAACAAATTACACGTCCGAGCAGCACAATGGCGGCGGGAGCGCGCGCGCGGCGAGCGGGGCGGTCGCGCTTCGGCGACGGGCTCTCCTCACCGAGAGGTCGTCGGAGCCGGGCAGCTCCGCCGGGGCGCAGGGGCCGAAGTCGCGGGCCGCCGCGCCGCAGACGTCCACCTCGACGGCAACAGCGGGGATCGCACGCCACGAAAATATCTGCACGGACGCCCTCCTAAGAGCTGTGCGTGGGCCTTCAGGGACGGCGGCGGCGTATCAAATCGCCGGCTCCCAGGGGTGATTTGTACACCGCCACCCTCCCCAGAATGCCCCGGAAAAAAATCCATTGGACGGTGTCTGTGAATATTTTCTCGCGGCGGAGATCGGAGGAAAGGGACGCTTTGGGGACCTGTTTAAACATTCCTGTGCCTTCGTAGCCCTCCGTGGCAAGCCGTGGGAACCTCACATGCCATCTTTGCTGGCCCGTGTGAACCGACGCTGACCGACGCAAAGTCGACGCCAGTCGACACTCGTCGACGCTAATCCGACGCAAGTTCGACGCTAATCGGCGCTGAATCGGCGCTGAATCGGCACTTTCTCATCGATGACCACACGCTAGCGCACGCTGGCGCACGCTTATCCCCTGTACACATGGAATTCCAGGGACATACCAGGCTCCCACGAGCTGCTACCGAAGTAACCCGCTGGAGCCCGCCAGAGGACTCCTTCGGATCCCCTCGGAAGCCCCAGAGGCCCTCCGAGGAACGAGCTCTGGAGACCTCCGGGCAAGGGGGGGGGCCTCTGATCTCAAGGGTTCCCAACTTCGCGCTTCGCGCTGCGCGAAGCGCGAAGTGCGAATAGTTTCACGCTCGCGCGCCGCCTCCCAGAGGAGAAGAAGAGGATAAGCCGAACCGCGAAGCGCGAAGCGCGAATAACTTCGCGCATTCGAGGGCGCCTTTGGATCTACGCGACGCCGAATACTGTGGCGAGCGGCTTATCCTCGTTCTCGTCCGCTGCCGTCCCTTTCCCGGCTTCGGGGCCGTCGAGAGACGCCTCGAGAGGAGAGGTCTGCCCTGGGAAGTGGACGAAGTCCCAGGAGGCCGGCGCCACTCGCTTTCTTTTGGATCCGCGGGTCGAGAGCGAGCCTCTTCCGGTCGAAGCTAAGCGGGCCGCGCACAACTTGAATTGACAGAGAGGGGAAGGCAGAAGGAAAGGGCCACACGTCAAGGCCACCAGAGGGCAAAGCCCCGGAATCAGGCGGTGCCGAAGGCGATGTGCATGCAAAGGAACGCCTTGTACAGGACCCCGGTGGCGAAGTACCGGAAGACGCCACTGACACACTGCAGCGTCGGAGAAGAGCGAGAGGGGACCGGGACAAAGCTGGAACGTCAGCGATGCACCTGCGTCGATCCTGGGCCCCGAGGGTGGGCCTGGCCAGGATCGGCGCACGCGAGCTGTATCGCTGGCACCCCCACGAGAGGATAGAAGACCTGATCAATCAGCGCCTGACTTACATGCTCCAGCCGCTGCTCAGAAACACACGTGCAAAGCCACTGCCTGTGGAACAGGGAATCGGGTTCCCCACGCAACGGACAATCCCCCCCCCCCCGCGCTCGTACTCACAGTCTCTCATCCGATCTCCCGTCCAGCAGGCTCCTGAACAAAAACAGCAGACAACCAGTATTTCTGCCTGGCCGTGGCCTTGCGAAGTCGAAAAAAATTGGCATCTGGGACTGGGCAGACCCTCTCACCTTTAAAATCCTCCAAACCAATCGCCATTGTTTCGCTCAAGAGCTCTCTGAACACCAGCCTCGAGCTGCTTGGCAACAAGGGCAGGGAAGGTATACAGGAGGTCGGCCAGGCGATCGCGATCATCACGCCACAGTGCAAAGTTATCAGCCCGCCACCCAATCCGATGGAGGGAGAGGAGCATTCGATGCACTGGGCCTTTGGACTTCCGCCAAACGGAGGAGCCCAACTCAGGAGACGAAGACGATATCGTACGCCACGTACGAATGTGATCCAGAAATGAGAAATGACTGGCCTTGGGCTCCGTGAGGCTCCGCCAGAGGCTGTTGGACCATTGCAAGGCTGGGGATACTGCTTGTCGCCAAGAGGGGTCACCATGGAGAACACACTTCGCCGTGATGCTCGCCCCCCGGTGGGCTGGAGCCTTGCCAGACATGAGCACCGACCTCAAAAAAAACTAACTCATGATCGGAAAATCCAAGGACCATACTCCCAAAACCTGCTGCTGGGCGCTACCGCAAGATATATCTTATGTATACGCGCGCGGTCCCTGGGGAGCTTCTTCTTATAATACTGGAGCAGCCGACTGCAAACACGCATATCATGAAACCTATGCCGCCGCCGTGCCCTTGCCTTCTTCGCCGATAACCCCTGACCAGGTGCTAGGCCCACGCCCAGCGACACCGTGGAGTTCGTGGCCGAAGAGGGGCAGATCGGCTTAAGCCGCTTGCACAACTTCGAAACAATTCTGCTGGAAGAGGAAAAGGAAACAGCTTTGTCTTCAGAAAGCCGCACACCTAAACGCGCCTGGAATACCCACTTCAAATCCTGAGCCGCCTTGGCCAGATCATGTAGAATGGCGTCTTCAGGACCGCGGGCCGAAACCGCGTCGTCGTCGACATGGGATCCCAAACTCACCCCTGGATTTCTGCTGGACCAAAGGTCAAAATCGAACATCGCGTAAACCTTCACCAACACGTCATTGAAGATATCCCCCGCGGGTAGACCATTTACCGCGACTTGTACAAGCGGACAGTGATGAGCTCCCAGTATGAGCACCCTCGGGGACCTCCAGAGATTATACAGAACCTTAAAGAAGACTATGGGGATACGCCAGCACAGAGCCTGATCCCGAAGCCACTGGAGCCTAAAAGACTCATAATACTTCATACGGTCCCAGATAAAACCAGCAGTGTGCCCATCCTTTTCAGCCCTGACACTTTGCTGCCAAATCGAAACCTCGGCCGACTGACCCGCGCCGAAGGCCCAGTAGGGCCGCCGAGCCCGTTCCAGGAAGCCGCCCACCTGAAGTCTTCGAAGTCGCCCCCAAACCCGAACAGAAGATCCCAAGAACAGAATCGGCCTGAGACCTCCCTTGGGCCTCTCAAGTAGCGGCATCAGCATCCACAGCAACTGCGCTGGGAAGAGGCCGAGCCGCTCCACGGACTCGTAGAGAACGGCCAAGCACGCGAGGCCCTCGCCGGAGAGGACGCCAACATGCCGAGGATGAAATCCATCTAAACTCTGCGCTGTGTGGCGGCTGAAACTCGAAGATGCTTTTCGAAGGTCCTCAATGCTGGCCCTCGGGAAGCATTGACGATCAGGGATCCTAGCTTCGGGCGGTCCCCGACGGGCACCCCAGAACTTTCCCAACGCACGAGCTTCACCCTGCAAAAGCGCATGTGGATCAGCAGTCAAAGCTCCAGGCGCACTCTGAATAACCGTCGGCTGCCATGCCTTCTTTAGCTTCGTAAACCGATGCACTATCCTAGCTGAGCCAGCAAGGGCCCGCTCCTGCCAGAGGTCCCAAGACTCCTGCTGAATCTTCTCACCATCTGAACCAGCTTGCTCGTAATCCTCACGACGTCCTCCAAAAGCTGCTTAGCTTGCTCTAGCCACTCCTGCTGACGGAAGCCGCTCTGATGCTGCCAACTCCTCGCGAGCTCGCGCATGGCACGAAGGGAGGCGTCGAGTCGCACCGAAAGGCCTTCACCAGGGCAGGAGTCCTGGAGCGACACCTGAAGCTGGACGCAAGTCGGGGAGTTCACCTCGCTCGCATCTTGAACCGTAAGAAAAAATCCTGGAAAGACTGGAACATCCACTTCCAACCTTGAACGACCCGAAGCTTATCCTCAGGATCCTTCGGGCGATAGAAGACTGAAACCCACGACGACGTGATGGTTCTCGAACGTTCGCCTAACTCGGTCGGCTCGATCCCCAAGGTGCGAGTAAGCTCCAGTTCGGCAACATCCACAAAGTGAGCCCAGGCAGTGTTCAAAATGCGCCAGGCTGCGGACGCCGTCTCGTGCGTGGCCCACGCCGCGGCCTGAGCAGCATGAGCATGAACTCCTTGCCACGCTGGTGGGCGGGGCCGCGGTCCAAAAGGTGCATTAACGGGATGCCGCTGGTAGATGCGATGCACAAGTTGCCTGAGTGACAGGGCACCAGCGCGAACTTTTAGCTGAACAGGCCTGCGGGGCTTCACATCCCAAGACATCACCGCCGAGACTCCAGAGATAAGCCTCGAGAGGCCTGGGCCCGTCACGAAAAAGTCCATGGTCGAGTTCGTCGACGGGGTCCGACACGTGTGCTCGATAGGTGCCAAAACCAACATACCTGATTTACGCGGTACTCCAGAAACCTCCAGAACCTGTGGTGGTAAGTTCCAGTCACCAGCCAAAATCGTATGCGTCGGATCGTGCACCTGCTTACCTATGTACGCGATCATCTTGATATTGGCCTCACTGAGGCCCTCCGCCGTCTCCAGGTAAATCGAGAAAACCGAAACCGTGGGCCAGCCAGGAAAATCCACCAGCACCTTGATGGCACGTCCAGGAACAACTGGGCCAGGACCTTCTGGAGGCCACCGTAAACCGACGCTACACCTAGCAAACACTGCGACTCCACATGAAACTTTGCCCGTCTCCCCGTTCAGGAGCGAGGAGCCGAACAAGACGTGGAAGCCAAGAGAGCGAGCCGTCGCCGTGGCCTGTCCTACGAGGTCGCTGCTGATCCCGATCTCTTGTGCACATACAATCACAGCCGACGTTTCACGCAATCTGCGAAGAAGCGTCTTCCAACAGGAGCCGTAAAAAGTCTCGATGAAGAAAGGCTCGCCACTGGCAACCTTCGGGCCTCCACGTAGAGGAGGGACAGGTACTCCAGCAGCAGACAAAGGAATGCCTGACAGCAGCGGCGCACGGCACCTATGAAGAGCATCACCCACACCGTGGTTTCTTCGCCTTGACGCCAAGCTGCTTGAGCAGGTCGTTGAAAGCCTGCACGTGCTCAGCGCCCTCCTTGCGCGCCGCCGCAAGCACCTGCTGCTTCGCCTCCTCCGAGAGCTCATCCATGTCGACGTCATCGTCGCCAGCACGGACCCTCTCGGCCTCCGAAGCGCCTGCGCCTGCACCTGCAGCACCAGTGGGCGGTGCCTGCTGTGGCGCAGGCTGCTGGGCCCGCACAGCAGCAGTCTTGTCCGCGTAGAGCTTCTTGAACCTCGCGAACTCCGGTGACGACAGCATGTCCTTGACCCCGTCGGTGTCGGGGCCCTCGAGCATGCTGGGACCAAGGTCCAAGTCCACCTCCACCTGCTCAGGGACAGATGGTGCCACCTGCTGCATCGCCGCCTGCAACTCAACCTTGATAGCATCGATCTCGACGCGGAGGCTACTCTGCCGATCGTTGAGCTCGACCAAAGCCCGCTGCGCCTCCTCCACCAGCTTCTTCTGATCCTCGATGGACTTGTCAAGGGCCTCACACTTCTTCTGCTTGTCAGCCGGCTTGTGCCCCAAGGTAATGGCATGGGACAACACTGGCTTCTTAGACTGCACGGCTGCCTTCGCCGCCTTGAGCTCCCCTTCCACGGACTCGATGGCAGACGTGGGCAAACCCTCGCACTTGCGCAGAGCCTGCAGTGACTCCTCCAAATGCTGCACTCGAACACGTAGCTTCTCATCTTCTGAGGCGTTGGCAGCTCCATCGCCACCTCCACCTCCTGCCTGGGTAGATCCGCCTCCTCCACCTCCGTTGGCCGCAGTACCCGCGGGAGATGGTGGTTTGGCGGTGACCTTTTCCATGATGCGCTTCTCCATGGCCGCGAGCTGGCCTGCGAGATTGGACGGTGTGTTCTTAGCCCATGCGCCACGTGGCCCGCGAGGCTGCCCAGGAGCGCCGCCAGGAGCAGGACGAGCCGAAGCGCCCAAAGCGGCCGCAGCAGCGCGTGCGCGCTCCACGATGGACCTCGGGGCCGACTGTCCGCATGCACACCGAATCCGACAAGCGAAATTCTGGTTCCTTCCGCAACTCGGGCACCCCCAATAGGGCGATCTGGGCCTTGGGAGTATGTCCGCATCATCACGCCGAGCCATGCCCTCCGCCTCCTCCTTCTCCTCCTCCTCCTCCTCCTCCTCCTCCGCCCCCTCCTCCTCCTCCTCCTCCTCCTCCTCCTCCTCCTCCTCCTCCTCCTCCTCCTCCTCCTCCTCCTGGCATGTTCTTCTTCCGTCGCCTCTTCTCATCGCACTTCGGGAGCTGTGGGAGAGAAGCGCCAACCCAGAGCCACGGCAGAGGCACTGAGCAGATTGGGACACGCGGCGAGAACGCATCGTACACACACACACAGACACACACACACACACACACACACACACACACACACACACATATATATATATATATATATTACGTTCTCAGACATCAGCACCATCAGCAAGTAATTGGGGCAAAGCGCACATTGCATTCGACTGAATTGCAGTTCTACGACCTTTACATCGAGTGTATACGAAAAATGCGGCGGTATCTGTGCCTTCGAGGATTCAGCAGTGGATATATCCCAGCGATGTCTCAAACAAATCACATCCGAGATTGTCAAGTGCGCCCAAACGCTTATAATTACCAACTCACCGTAGCACCCCGCAGATGCGGATAAGAGTGAGGGGGCGGCGGGGACGTCGGCAGTTTGCGAGTCTCTGGAAAAGCCCGCCGCAGGAGCCAAAGTTTCACAAATTGAACAACGAACCCGCCGCAGGCGCCGATTTTTCGTGAAACCAATGTGGATTGCGGATGGGTCACTGGTGGGTCGCAAATGGGTCGCGGGTGGGTCGCGGGTGGGTCGCGGGTGGGTCGCGGGTGGGTCGCTGTTGGGTCGCGGGTGGGTCTCGGGTGGGTCGCGGGGGGGGGTCGCGGGTGGGTCGCGGGTGGGTCGCAGATGGGTCGCGGGTGGGTCGCGGATGGGTCGCTGGTGGGTCGCGGGTGGGTCACGGGGTGGGTCGCGGGTGGGTCGCGGGTGGGTCGCGGGTGGGTCGCGGGGGGGATCGCGGGTGGGTCGCGGGTTGGGTCGCAGGGTGTGTCGCGAAGTGGGTCGCGGGGTGGGTCGCGGGGTGGGTCGCAGCGTGGGTCGCGGGTGGGTCGCGGGTGCGTCGCGGGTGGGACGACAACAACAACAAACCGGCGACGCCTCCTGGCGCCGGCATACACGGAGTAATCGCACTCGATTACTCCGTGCATCCGAGGCAGATTCTACTTGGATTCCTATTGGAACCTGCGTATTGGATACAAAGAGTAATCGCACTTGATTACTCCGTGTACCCGAGGCAGATTCTAATTGGATTCCGGCTGGAACCTGCATATTGGATACACGGAATAATCGCACTCGATCACTCCGTGTATCCGAGACAGATTATACTTGGATTCCTATTGGAACTTGCATATTGGATACAAGGAGTAATCGCACTTGATTACTCCGTGTACCCGAGGCAGATTCTAATTGGATTCAGGCTGGAACCTGCGTATTGGATACACGGGGTAATCGAACTCGATTACTACCTGCATATTGGATAAACGGAGTAATTGCACTCGATGACTCCGTGTATCCGAGGCACATTCTTCTTGGATTCCTACTGGAACCTGCGTACTGGATACACGGAGTAATCGCACTCGATCACTCCGTGTATCGGGTACACGGAGTAGTCGAACTCGAGTACTCCGTGCATCCGAGGCAAATTCTGATTGGATTCACATTGGAACCTGCATATTGGATACACGGAGTAATCGCACTCGATTTCTCCGTGTATCGGATACACGGAAGAGTCGAACTCGATTACTCCGTGTACCCGGGGCAGATTCTAATTGGATTCCTACTGGAACCTGCATATTGGATACACGGAGTATTCGCACTCGATCACTCCGTGTATCCGAGACAAAATATACTTGGATTCCTATTGGAACCTGCATATTGGATACAAGGAGTAATCGCACTTGATTACTCCGTGTACCCGAGGCAGATTCTAATTGGATTCCGGCTGGAACCTGCATATTGGATACACGGAGTAATCGCACTCGATTGCTCCGTGTATCCGGTACACGGAGTAATCGAGTGCGATTACACGACAACCACAACGACGACGACGACGACGACGACGACGACAACAACAACAACGACGCAACAAGCAGAATCCTCACCACGGATCCTAGCTTCAGCCACGCACCCAGGGACAATGAATGACCGTTCGGCCCCCTCACTCTGATGCACCCAGCTTGTCGCCTATGGGTCGAGTGCCGCGACCGCCAAATTGGATCCCACCGTCCTTGCCAACTCCTGTCGCGCCGCCTCCCCCACCACAGTCAGCCGAACAAAACGCACATGAAACAAGCGTGGGTTCGCACGAGCTCGCAGCACTTCTCGCACAATTGGAGGTGGCGTCGAACGTTGGATAAGCGAAGACGGCTTGGTTTGACACATCTTCATGTTAGATATCCGCCTGGGCGACCTGGACACGTGAAAACAAGCGCTTCGCTCGAGACGTTCTCAACACCTTCTCATGCTAGACATCCGCCTGGGCGGCCTGGACACGTGAAAGCAAACGTCTCGCTCGAGAAATCTTCAACACATCTTCATGTTGAACATCCGCCTGGGCGGCCTGGACACGTGAAAACAAACGGTTCGCTCAAAACATTCTCAACACATCCTAATGCTAGACATCCGCCTGGGCAACCTGGACACGTGCAAGCAAGCGTCTCGATCGAGACTTCCTCAACACATTCTCATGCTAGACATCCGCCTGGGCAACCTGGACATGTGCAAGCAAGCGTCTCGATCGAGACTTCCTCAACACATTCTCATGCTAGACATCCGCCTGGGCGACCTGGACGCGTGAAAACAAGCGTCTCGCTCGAGACGTCCTCAACAGATCCTCATACTAGACATCTGCCTGGGCAACCTGTACGCGTGAAACCAAGCGTCTCGCTCGAGACATCCTCAAGACCTGGACGCATGAAAACAAGCATTTCACTTGAGAGATCCTCTGAATTCTGGCCCCCAGGAGAGGACACTAAACGCCGGCCCACCTCAAGTTGATTCCGAGGGTAAACCTTTGAAAGAGAACCCTGGGCCCACGCCCTTTCCGGGAAAAAAGAAGGTGCGAGCCCCAGGAGGGGCACTTCAATTGAAAAAACACTGACTTGGCACCAGAGGGGGGAAATCAACCATAATCTTGCTCTCGAAAAGAAAATTCAACGCGCATCGCAAGCACGGACACCGAAATCTGCATGAAGGAAACGGGTCCTGGAGGAAAGGGGTGCTCGGAAGGGTCGCTGCTTTCAGGCCCCCGGGGCCCTCCTGGGGCCCCATGACAATGAGAAAACGACTCAGGATCCGTGTCATTCGGGACCAGTTTCCCTCAGGACACCCTGTCCTTCATGGCGACGATGCGGAGCGGTTCAGCGCCGGTCCACTGCTGAGGGTTGGGCTTCGAGGCAACAACTAAATACGCTGTTGCGGTTGGGTCCCTGGCGCCTGCACGGGCACATGCACTGGCACTCGAACTGGCACTGGCATCTGCATGCCGCAATTGGCCACTGGCTCCTTAGTGCGCCCTCTCCTTCATCCCCTGCCCCTCCTCCTCGGCCATCATGTCTACTTCCTGCACTCCGTCCGAGGACATGCTGCCTTCCTCCTGCTCTCCTGGACACACCAAACGACGTTAAGCATTGAAGGCCGCGAGAAAACGTGCTGCTGCTCGATATGCCAAGTACGTTGCCAAGATATGGCGTCCCATGCCCAATGCCGTGAAACGCCGAGGTGTTTTTGTCGAAGAGCGGCCTCGCGCCAGAGCTCGCGCGATTCATATCCTGGCGGCCTACAGCTCGTCCAGGTCGATCTCGGGCTCGGCGCTGGCGGTCTCCTGGGGGGCCAGACCAGAGTAATTACCGATCACACCACTGCCCCCCGGACCTCTCAAGGGGTGCGCTCTGCCCATCCTCTCGAGGCGAACCCAGCCGTGGGCGACGGTGAAAGTGCAGCGGTGCACGTCGGTCGGAAGAAGTAGGTAAAAACAGAAAGTAGGAAGGCAGGCAAAGTGGATTGGGTCCAGGCCCTCCCAGAGAACAACAGAACACAGCAAAATCATGCCCATTCTTGAAGTAGGAAGGCGCTTGAAGTAGATTGGGATCTGGGAATCCAAAAATACCTACTTTCAACGACCAGCGTGTGCAGGTATACACCCCTTCTTGTTCCGATCTCCGGGGCCCCAGCCGGCAGCGCCTTCGCGACGCTGCTGCTGCCGCCTCTGCCGCGGGAGCGGCGCCCGCCAGGGTGCTCCTGCAGCGGGTCGCGCCCGCGGGACCTGGGGGACCCAAACGATACCGATGCGGCTGCTCCCCGGACCTCTCCCGGGCCGCGCTCTGACGCAGGTCCTCCGAGGGGAACACCCAGCGCTGGCGGCGAGGGCCTCACGGGAGGCCCAGGAAGGCGACGTCGAGGCGAGGCTGGCGGCACATCGGTTCCCCTGTGTTCCTCCCCTCGAGGGGACCAGGACCGGTCCCGATCGGCCCGCCGACCCCGGTCGGGGCCCGGGGACCTGCCCCGGACCACGCCGGGCGGCGGCTCGAGGCCCCACGGGCCGTAGCCAGGCATGCCGTAGGGGCCGAAGCCGCCGGGCAGGCCGCCCATGGGGCCGCCGTAGCCCATCGGGCCGCCGAGGCCGCCCATGGGGTAGCCCGGGTAGCCGCCCTGATCGGGCCACCAGGGGTCCACGGCGCCGCACGCCAGCGGGGCAGAGAGCTCGGGCAGCTCCACCCCGGTGTCCTCCAGGAGGTCGCGGAGCAGCGCCTTGGCGGTCCGGATCTGCTCCCACGAGCCGGTGATGCGCAGCGGGCACGGGTCGGTGTCCTGCGAGGTGATGCGCATGAGGGCGCCGCTGTCCTGCTTCATGCTCTTGATGTTCGCGCCCGCCTTGCCGATCACGCGGCCCAGCACACTCTTGGGGATGGGGATGGTTACCTCCTCGTGGCCCGCGCCCTTGGCCTTGCCCTTGCCGCCCTTGCCGCCCTTCCCGCCGTGCTCCCTTCGTGGCTGGCTGCCTCTGGACGGCTGCGCCTCCGGGTCTGCGGCCATGGACTCGACGAGGGCCCTGGCCTGCTGCACCTGGCCACGCCTGCCAATGATGTGGACTTTGCACAGGTCCTCCCCCTCGACCTTCTCGACGTGCACCCTCGCGCCGCTCTGATTGCGGATGTCCTGTATCTTCGAGCCTCCAGTGCCGACGATGCTCCCGAACGCACTGCTCAGGAACTCGAGGGTCAGGCGTGTCGACCCCTCCTGTCCGTCGCCGTCCGCGCCCTTGCCCTTGGCGGGCTCCTTGCCGTCCTCGTCGCAGCTTCCCTTGGCCTTGTTCTCTTCCGAGGCCGCCGTCTTCAGCGCCTCTAGGGCTTCCTCCGCCATGGCATTTATGGCCGCCTCCGCTTTCGCTATGGCATCCTCCCTGCCTGTTATCTTCACCTCGGTGCGGCCGTCGACCACGTTGACGTGGATCCTCGCGCCAGTGGTGTCTCTGACCTCCTTGATCTTCGCTCCCTTCACGCCTATGATGCCGCCAGCGATGGCGGCGGGGTAGGTCACATTTTTGGCACCCTTTGCCTCTATGCCGCCGTGCTCGTCGGGCGCCGAGACGCCATCCTCGAGCTCCTGCCTACTGCGCTCAATAAGATCCTTGATCTCCGTCGTCGCCTTTTCCACGGCATCCTCACTGCCGCTGATCTTGAGGACGGTCCGGTCCTCGCTCAGCTTCGAGGAAGTAATCACAGCGCCGCTGGCCTTGCGCAACCGGTTGATGTTCGTGCCCTGCCTGCCGATGATGCGTCCCATGAAGGTCTGCTCCACCTCTATGGACGTGATGGGGCCCTCGTGTTGGCTGTCCAGCCCCGCCCAGCCGCCGCCGCCGCGGTCACGGCTGCGGCTGCGGTCGTCGCTGGGGCGCGTGCTCCTCACCACGCTCTGCGTCACCTCCGCGATCATCGCCTTGGCCCGCTCGACCTGCTCCGGCGTGCCCGACACGCGGAGCCTGCATGTCGGGCCAGTCGCCTCCTTGTCCTCGGCGTTCAAGTGGACCTTGGCGCCGCTCATCTCCCGGATGCCCTTGATGGTGGCGCCCTGCTTGCCTATGACCTTGCCCAGGTGCTTCCGTGGGATGTGCACAATGCTGGTGGGATCGTACCCACCAAGCTCCCTGTCTCGACCGTGGCCCTCATGGCTCGGAGGAGGGCCAAGAGTGACAACGACAGCTCCCCGCCTGGTCAAGGTCAGAATATCGTTATCCAGACCTCTCAGGGGGTCCATCCTGACCTTCACTGTTTCCCCTGGGGCCGCAGGCGACCCGAGAAGGAGGAGGAGGAGGAGGAGGAGGAGGAGGAGGAAGAGTAGGAGGAGGAGGAGGAGGAGGAGGAGGAGGAGGAGGAGGAGGGGGAGGAGAAGGAGGAGGAGGAGGAAGAGGAGGAGGAGGAGGAGAAGGACGGGTCGCCTAAGCCCTTCGGGGAAACCCTCCATCCTGACCTGTTTTCCGCGGCGGATTCAGCCACGGCGACGAGAAGCCGCCAGCTGGCCCGGAAGGAACAACACCCGCCATGGGAGGGCAGCCGTTGACCTCGCCATCGCTCCTCCATCCTGACCTGTTTTCCGCGGCGGATTCAGCCACGGCGACGAGAAGCCGCCAGCTGGCCCGGAAGGAACAACACCCGCCATGGGAGGGCAGCCGTTGACCTCGCCATCGCTCGGACGTCCATTCCCTGTGTTTTTTTCGGTTTCGTGCGTGGCGTTTTCGCCAAATGATCATGGATGCTCCTCGATTGTCCTCGCCGAGGAAAAATGCACACGTCCGAGCGATGCCCAGTGACTCGACTGGACCTCCTCCGAATGGTCACCACGCCACCCGTAGCCTGGGAATGCCAAGGCACCGGGCGCCATGCCGCCCGGAGGGATGCCAGGCTGGCCGCCCATGTACGGCAGCGGCCAGCCGCCCCCTGGCCACATCAAGTAGTTCATGCCGAGCATGGCCTGCATCGGGTCCTTCCTGCGGGCCTTCTTCTGCTTTCTGTGGAGGCCGCCCCACGGGGGGCCAGGGCCAATGGGGGAGGGAGGATCATGCCGCATCGGCGATGCAGCGACGTCGGCATGGATAAAGGAACGCTCCGGATCGAGCCGCATCGCCAGATGCATCGGCGATGCGGCGCGCTCCTCCGACCCCATCTGCTCCGGCCCCGCCGAGGCGACCTGGATTCTGCGAGCTCTGCTGGCGCTCCTGCTGCCACTGCCGCTCTGCTCTCTGGGAGCTCTGCCAGCGCTACTGCCAGGCCTGAGCTGGATCGAATCACGAAATCGGGTCGGATCGGATCGAAAGCGGATCGGATCGCCAGCGGATCGTCCCGCATCGGACCGAGCTCGGATCGCCGCGCCTGGCTCTTGCTGGGCCCAGCCGAGTCGAGCCGAATCGAATCCGACCGGGACCGCGGGCATGGCCCGCGAATCGCACCGCCTCGAACCCGATTCCCAGACATCCGGCGCTCCAGTGTCTTCGGCAGCTTACTGCCCCAGGAGCAGACGCTCATCTCGAGTCGCCTCCGACAAGCGCGCTGCGCTACTCGCAGAGGAACGGCTCGCAAATGGCCAGGTTCCGCCGCGGGGGATTTGCGATATACTACATCGGGGCAAACTCATGTTTTTGTTCGGGCGTTTGCGAAGAGGCACTTTGCGAGCAGTGGAACGCGCTCGGTGATTGACGGCGGGGGGCCGTGGCGGGCCCCCAGAGGCCGCAAACAGCCATGTGCCGGCCGCCCCCGTTTCTTCGAAGCCTCGAAGCTCAGGGAGCCGCCACTCTCGCTTGCCGTCGCTCGGACGTCCATATTCCCTGTGCATCATTCGGCTTCGTGCGTGTCCGCTTGTTTTTCTCAAGATGATACAGCCCCCAGGAGGCAGCAACGGGTGAGCCCTGCACCCCTCGATGCGGGCAAGATTTGTATCCATATACACTGCGTCTTGGAGTTTCGAGCTCTCTTCCTCCGATACCAAAGGCGCCGTGGATATGGGTAAAACAATTTCGCCACCAAAGGTCCGATTTCTACTCGTATCCACTGCGCCGCGGCCTGTTGGCGCCCCTTCCCAGAAAGGCCAAAACTCCGTGGATATGGATACAAGTCGTGCCCGCACTCAAGGGCCGGATCTCTGCATCGCCGCCTGGGTCTCGGGCTCCAGGGCCTCGGAGCTCTGGGCGGTGCACCGCCCGGCCTTCCGATGGCCTCCCCCCCCGGAGGCAGCCACGGGTGAGCCATGCACCCCCCTGGGCTCCGGATCTATGAAACGCCGCCTGTTTGGACGCCCGAGGTGGGCACGAAAAAAAGGGTACTCCTCCTCCTCCTCCTCCTCCTCCTCCTCCTCCTCCTCCTCCTCCTCCTCCTCTTCCTCCTCCTCCTCCTCCTCCTCCTCCTCCTCCTCCTCCTCCTCCTCCTCCTCCTCCTCCTCCCCCTTCCTCCTCCTCCTCCTCCTCCTCCTCCTCCCCTCCATCCTCCCCTTCCTCCTCCTCCTCCTCCGCCTCCTCCTCCTCCTTCTCCTCCTCCGCCACCTCCTCCTCCTCCTCCTCCTCCCCCTCCTCCTCCTCCTCCCCCTGGTAGGATGCCCAGCAGCAAGATCTTGTCCATCACCGACAGCGGCCGCTGTTGGGCAGGCGGCCTTCTGTCCCAAGTGGACACAGGCCGCGGCGGCGCGGACAGCGAGTCCTGTTCAAAATGAACAGGAACCGTTGTTGAGCATGGTGCCCATTCTTTCCGTGCCCATCTCGCTCGTGCAGATCGGGGCCCCGGGCTCTCTGGCATTGTGGCCGGCCCTGCCTGCTGCCGCTGCCGCTGCAGCTCCGGCTCACCGAGCTGCGGCCGCCGCCGCTCCCGGCGCCGCCCGGGGCGCTCCCCTGCGCGGCCCCCGGGCGGGGCCCCCCGCCGCCGCCCGGGCTCTCCGACGGCCTCGCGGCACAGCTCGGCGAGCTGGAGGCGTCGCGGTCGATCGTCGGCGCGTCCTCCTCGGAGGCGCCGCCGCCGAGTGCCTCGGGACGCAGAAGGACGCACTGTGACCCTCGTCGCGAGCAGACGCAGGATGCTTCCACCGCCCCTTGCCCCCCCCCCAATTTCAGTGTTCGGCGGCGCGCGCCGCGCGGCCCGCGCTGCCCGAAGCAGAATGCAAGAGGCCACTTCCGACGTGAACGTTGCCTTTGGGGGTCCGGTGGGGCCGCCACGTCGCAGAGAAAACTTGCATTTGAGTTCGCGGAGGGCCGTAGTACTCTGCACACCCCTGGGATGTGGCCCTCCAAACCAAACCAGCAGCATGAGTGTATCGTGGCATATCGTTGCCCACGCGCTATGGCCAGAAAGCGCCCGCCACCGAGCATGTCAGAGTGAGGGGGCCGAACGGTAATTCATTGTCCCTGGGTACGTGGCTGAATAAAGAATCCGTGATGAGGATTATGCTTGTTGCATTGTTGGTGTCGTTGTTGTTGTTGATGTTGTTGGTGTTGTTACTGCTGCTAAAGTATCAAAATCGTTGAGCGCGCGCGTCGCCCCCGACTGGGGTGGCACACAGCATCGGTACCTTCACTGCGGGTGGGGCAGTAATCGCCCTCCCCTGGATTCGCGGGGGGGGGGGGGGGGGGGGCAGGTGCTGTCGGAACGGGTGGACGGAGTTGTAGGAGGAGGAGGAGGAGGAGAGGAGGAGGAGGAGGAGGAGGACGCTACGAGCGAGTGCGCTCGGCAGCCTGCGTAAGAAAGGAGAGGAGGAGGACGAGGGAGGAGGAGGAGGAGAGGAGGAGGGGAGGAGGAGGAGAGAGGAGGGGGAGGAAGAGGAGGAGGAGGAGGAGGAGGAGGAGGAGGAGGGGGAAGGAGGAGGAGGAGGAGGAGGGATGGGGGGAGGGATGGGCAAGCTTCGTCGGAAGGTCGATCACCTCCCCCTTGCCACAATACCCCATCCAGAGCCAGAGAGGAGGAGAAGGAGGAGGAACATGATGAGAAGGAGGAAGAGGAGGAGAAAGGGGGAGGGGGGGGGGAAGGGAGGAGGGAGGGAGGGGCCAGCACCATTGGAAGATCCATCGCCCCTCGATTGATAAGTGCACCATGCAGAGCAAGGACCATTGGATAAGAAACCCAAGGCCTGGAGACTGGCGGAACACCAACTGAGCGACGATCACGAACGGGTCTTACGCGAAATGGCGTAGCGACCTTGCGCGGTGGCTTACGCGGGCCGCCAGCGCGACACGCCACATTGGAGACGAGGGCGCTCACGCGCGACCTTACGCGGGCAGCTTACGAGCCAATGTCGGCGCAGACGACCCCGTTTTTTTCCGTCGCTCAACAGAGGCTAGGCCACGGAAGTCACCACCGCCCTCATCAGATAAGGAGTCATCAGGGTCTGAGGCCTCCTGGATTGGAGGCGGCGGGAGGGTCTGAACTGGCTGGGACCCCAGAAGGTCGGCCAGCAGGGCGGAGGAAACCAAATCCGAATCGGTCCCTGGACCCCTGCCAGGATCCATCTGCTTCCATTCTCCACCCAGGATCGGCTTCTGACAGCCCCGGGGCCCGAAAGCGGCCCCGCGGGGACCGAAAGTGCTGACAGACCTCGTCGAGCCCAGAACCTCGGGAGGGGAAGCAATTGGCGGAGCAACTGAAACCACCCCAGTTGCAACTGAGACCGCCCCCAGTGGCGCCTAGGGGGCCGGGGGGCGGGCGGAGCAACTGAGACGGGTGGGCGGAGCAACTGGGCCAGCAACTGACCCAACTGACCCAGAGTGCCCCAGACTGCCCCGCTCTGCCCCAGACCGCCCCAACTGCCCCACTGTCCCAGACTGCCCCAGACTGCCCCAGACTGGCCCAGACTGCCCCAGAGTGCCCCAACTGCCCCACACTGCCCCAACTGCCCCAGACTGCCTCAGACTGCCCCAGACTGCCCCAGACTGCCCGAGCGTGCCCCAGACTGTCCCAGACTGCCCCAGACTGTCCCAGACTGCCGAGGGGGCCGGGGGCGGGCGGAGCAACTGACACGGGTGGGCGGAGCAACTGGGCCAGCAACTGACCCAACTGACCCAACTGACCCAGACTGCTCCACACTGCCCCAGACCGCCCCAACTGTCCCAGGCTGCCCCAGACTGCCCCAGACTGCCCCAGACTGCCCCAGACTGCCCCAGAGTGCCCCAACTGCCCCACACTGCCCCACTGCCCCAGACTGCCCCAGACTGCCCCAGACTGCCCCAGACTGCCCCAGACTGTCCCAGACTGCCCCAGACTGTCCCAGACTGCCCCAGACTGCCCCAGACTGCCCCAGACTGTCCCAGACTGCCCCAGACTGTCCCAAACTGCCCCAGACTGCCAAGGGGGCCGGGGGCGGGCGGAGCAACTGAGACGGGTGGGCGGAGCAACTGGGCCAGCAACTGAACCAACTGACCCAACTGACCCAACTGACCCAGACTGCCCCAGACTGCCCCAGACTGCCCCAGACTGCCCCAGGCTGCCCCAGAGTGCCCCAACTGGCCCAGACTGCACCAAACTTCCCAGACTGCCTCAGACTGCCCCAGACTGCCCCAGACTGCCCCAGACAGGCCCCAGACTGCCCCAGACTGCCCCAGACTGCCCCAGACTGCCAAGGGGGCCGGGGGGCGGGCGGAGCAACGGAGACGGGTGGGCGGAGCAACCGGGCCAGCAACTGACCCAACTGACCCAACTGACCCAGACTGCCCCAGACTGCCCCAGACTGCCCCACACTGCCCCAGACTGCCCCAGGCTGCCCAAGAGTGCCCCAACTGGCCCAGACTGCCCCAGACTGCCCCAGACTGCCTCAGACTGCCCCAGACTGCCCCAGACTGCCCCAGACAGGCCCCAGACTGCCCCAGACTGCCCCAGAGACTGCCAAGGGGGCCGGGGGGCGGGCGGAGCAACTGAGACGGGTGGGCGGAGCAACTGGGCCAGCAACTGACCCAACTGACCCAACTGACCCAATTGACCAAACTGACCCAACTGACCCAACTGACCCAG